TCTTCAACGTATATTCCAAAATTTCATGAAAATAAAATAAAATCTTCTCACGTGTATTGGAACATTAAAGTCTTAGAATAAAGTGGAGTGTGGACCACACTTTTTACTCGCATTTCGATTTTATCACTTTACTATGTTATATACTTTTGTGGAACTAATCAACAGTCAAAATGTTGAGTTTATCATATTCCCACATATACATCGGTAAAATCACGAAAATTTTTTTAATCCATTCAAAACTAAATAAATTAAACAACTTCGATTACGCATCCACTTTGAAAGTACCATATACTTTTTTTGTTTCTTTATCACTGAAGAACATGATCTTACCAATGGAAGTCCCAATCGAAGTTACTAGTTAGAGACTCATCGATGAATCTAGGCATATACAATTATTTTTCTTATGAAAATTGTATCCAAGTGGTCGTTTGGTTGTAGTAAAATGTACTGTTGTTTGTTTTGGCCTGACATTTTTGTTATATGCTATGCTCAAATTTCCCTTCAATCTAATCGAGTATTTAAATTCATGTGAAAATATATTCGTCTTTTTCTCACTCTTTTTTAGAGTGATTCAACAGTTATCTTATCGTCCCTATTGTTATTTTGGCATAAAAGAAAGTTATTTATCATAATGTAATTCTATTATATAGATTCTGACTACCGTATTGTAAATTGTTTTCATCGTGAAAATACAAAGACTAACAGCTATGTTGATTCAAGAGATCGACAATGAATTTGTAATGGAAAGAAGTTCGGAGATTTTCGATAAAAAGTGAATGAATGAATGGATCCCCTCTTCTAGTGGGGTGTCTTTTCTATTTGTAGAGAAAATGAGACATTAACCATGGTTTGAATTAAACCCTATTTTCTTTTGGTGAGTTACTTTTGGCCCAAATTTTATGGATTTTACCATTTAGTGAATTTCATGAGTTGATCTCACTTTGGGAATGGCTTTAGATAAGGGTGTTCAACCCATATCCAACAAGCCATTTATATCGGATTGGACGATTTTGCATATCGATATGATGTGAATACTTGAGTAATTTAAGAAAGTTCAAAAATCAATAACATGATTTATTAATATCTCAAAATACATTTTGGAAATTAAAGCTTTTTTTTTTTTTTGAGAAACTAAAGCCTTTTGTTTTCATAACCAACAAAAAAAAGAAGAAGGTAAGGGACACTAGCTAATAATCGGTTCGATGAAACAAAAGGACACAAAAGTGGAGCATCAAAGGCACTTTTGCATTAGACAGCTTGGCCATTTGCTCTTAACGTTATTATAAGAGTCCAGTGACTCCAGTTTACACGTGTAGTAAGGTTCAACCGATAAGAATATGAATCATCAATACATTTCCTTACATTTATTCTTCTTAAGAGGGTTTGTTTGTACTTTGTATATTATCATACTTTGTTGTATGTATCTACTTAGTACTAATAATGACTTATTGTGAAACGATATGTTTGGATGCCAAAAATGATGCGGTGGTAAATAATCATAAATGAGTTACTATATTTATCTCATACATTTTTTAATTAAATAACACGGTATCATGTAAATTAAATAACATGCTGGTTATTCTTGAAAATATGATACTTGCAAAAAAAATGATGAATAAATCAATTTTCACTTACATAGATTTTGTAAATAGGTACCAAAATTAAGTTATTAATGCATATACGCTTGAATAGAATGTAAAGAAGATGAAAAACGTAATCTATAAAATACAAATTGAACAAAATATAGAAATAAATTAAGTAATTGGGGGGGGGGGGGGGTAGTGAGAGGGAAAGGTCATGGGCAATGTAGGAGGAACCACGAACAGTGGTCTAATCGTAGGGTCGTTCTTAAGATGCAACAGTCCAAATCACATAACATGCACAAGATTCATATATATCACACATATCTATCATTTCCAATTTAATTTCTTATGGATAACAAATCCATGCGTGTGTTTACAAACTACAAAAAACCAAGTAGTGAAGCCTTATATGTCTCGTGTGGTGGTGGCCGTATCTTATGCTAGCTATAAAGAAGTTTGCTTTTATTTCAGTAATTAATGATTGTATGAAAAATTCAAATTCTATGTTTGTACTAATGAAAATTATATATGTCGATGAATATTTATCAAACTACCATTCTAAAGGTTAAAACCCCAGAATATTTACAAAGTACCGATTAAAATTTTGCTTCCATGTTTTTTATTATTTTTTGGGGTTTAATGAAAAAACTCATCAAATATTGTTTGATCCATTTTAAACCCATCAACTAACTTATTAATGTAAAAAACCCCTCTCAACTAACATAGTTTAATGAATAAAACCCTTAAATTAAAAGCTTAATGAAACAACCCTGAAATAAAATTTCGCTAACGAATAAAACCCCTCCTTGTATCCTTTTATGTTTTAGTTGGATTTTAGAGGTAGTATTTCTCCGCGAACCCTTGGCAAACTCTCTTGATTTCTCAACTCCCACCAGTTTCGGATACGTCAGCTTTCCGTCCATCTGATCTTTCACCGAAGTCTTTTCTAGCTCATCAGACGATGTCGTCTCGTCCACCACCTGAAACAATAGTACAATGCACCTCCCGAATTTTAGGGTGAAAATGGTGGTGATGAACGGGGATTTGATCGGGAGATGGAGTAGGCGGTGTGTGTTCGCCGGACTCAGTCTTCGTTATAGAGTTGTAAGCAAAAAGCGTAGAGTGTTGAAGATGAGTGGCAGATAGAGAAAGATGGTTTGTGCTGCTATTTCTACAAACGGATATGAACGATTGTTGATCGTT